AAGAAGTAATCACCAGGGCAAAAATAAAGCAATGTAAAGCGAAAGTACCTTAAGATAAATTTATTCTATACTATATCATGACAATAATAGACGAGCACAAAATTCTTTTATAGGAAAACGCTGAACTCCGTTTCCCGTTGTGTTCCGTCTCATCCATTGATAATCAAGGAAATACTACTCAAGTAAATGTATTGAAGGCTCCTCTGGACGTGAAGGGCAAAGAGGTATTCGTAATTACGTTTGCGATACGTTATCTTTACAACGATATCAAGAAGTGTGCTCTGAATTCTATAAAGTTTACTGACGTAAGCTTAAATAACCATCGTCAGTTGGGGACTTCTAGCACTAAGCGAAGGTGCATGATTGGATCCTGCTGGCTATCTTTTCGTACAACGTCGATGTGAAGCTATGCCCATTTGGCTCAATGCGAGAAAAATGGCTGAACTGCATTTTTTGTCACTCGCAGTGCAGCTAGCACGGAAGCTGAATGGCCACAAATGCTTTTGGCCTCTGAACAGAGTGCATTTATATTGCAGTGCTCAATAATGAACAGTATTTCACTCTTGAGAAGCAACAGAGCAGGGTCGCTTGAGACGGCTATTGTTTGCACTGTACGTCCTTCCTTACTAACACTCGTTTAGGCACATCTCCTCTCAATGAGTGATGATTTCAACAATGAGTTCATTGGTGGCGGCAGCAGGTATGTATGTCAAAAAGATAACAACTTTTCCACAAGCTCGTACCAAAAGGGCACTTGATAGAATGTGGTCGCAATTTTCTGAGTGTGGTGCACTCTTTAGTCTAACTACGAGGCTCTCTTCGAAGGCGTTTCTATTCGCACTAAGCGTGAATCGTTCGCGTTTTGGGTAGCAAACAAAACGACCTCTATTCTGAATGGTAGCAGCGTTTGTTCCTATGTGGCCTAAAGTTGCGTAGGGCAGCCGAATACAAGCTAGCCCTTCTATTCTCTCTCAGGAGTCTTGCACCAATCAACCGACCTTGCAGAGGTAGGGGGTTCAATTATATGGGCGAATATCGATTTGGATTGCGATTTCGCGGTGGTGCGCTATTAGTCTAAACAATCCAAAACTTGTGGAGAAATACTGTTCTTGCTATATTCCCCATGTGTATCACTTATGAAAATCATTTTTCAGTAATCGTAATTGTGAATGGGCTATGACTAGGCATGAAAAAATAAAAGCTGCAGCCCAGGTGAATTACTTGCTCTTCTTTTTTTTCTTAGCTTAGGATTGTGTTCCCAATTGGTTATTTAGCTATCTTAATGTTAGTATTTATATTACAAATATAGACATATAGTAGATAGAGTACAGTGAATTTGAAACTCAGGCACAAGCGGACGTCGTTTGGGATATGGCTGTTCAGAACTGCGATATCATTCAATATTCAAAAGCACTCACATGCTGATCATTGGAAGGATTTTCGTAGTTTCCTTAATTTTCATTTTACTTATGTCAACAGTAAACAAAGAGTCTAGCTGAATTAGGCAATGTATAACTTTGTGCCAATCGCTTATTTATTTCCAATAAAGAAAATCTAGTTGCCTTTGAGAGATAATCTGAAAATAATATGGAGAAGATTAAAATGAGTGGGAACGTATGGTCGTATTTTACCGGAATTCCCGCAGCGACATTAAATCGTGGCAGTTACGCTGTTCTTTCACAGAGAGTTCAAATCATTCATTGTCCCTGCGCGAGATTAAACTCGGGCTGTTCGGATAGAAAAACCCAAAGTCAAGCAATATAGAAAGCTGGGATTGCATTGCCAACGTGCGTTTCACAGGTATTATGGAAAACATCGGCTGCTTTTAAGCTATGATAAAAATAAAAAAGTAGAATCTGTTGAAAAATGCTCCATCTTGCACTTCAGGTTCAAGCTGGTCGTAAAGTTACGAGTGAAAACGAACTTTGGTCACTTTCTTCCAGAAAACATATGTCTCAATCAGATATACACCTGGAATATAAAAAGAAGTAAAGTAAGTAGCCATCTGGATGGACGAATCGAAGATTTATTAATTCGGTATGAGTGGAATCGAGCTTATGCGACGTCCATTTGGTACAAGGCCGTGTCGGGCCTATCAAGACGCCAGCTGCGGGCTGTCAAGAGGTGCGAGGCAGGTGGTGCATGCTAGCTTCTGTGGTAATGGAGTCGGCTACCTTCATTGGATCGAGGGCAAGATGGATTTAAAGATGTACGTGCACATCACAGAATTTGCTTCTGGTCGTATTTTTGCTGTTCAGCCTGTAGTGGGTTCATTTTCCAACGGGACAATGACCCGAGGCACAAGTGGAAGCTGCTAAGGAAGTGGCTCCGATTCTCTGCTGCCCTGGCAGTCGCAATACCCGATCTGAGTCCCATCAGACAATGCGACTGAAAAGACCTTTTCGAAAAAGCCAAACCACTTTTCATTACGACAGCGCTGACCCCATACAACACAAGTCGTCAAAACTGCTATTCAAGGACCTGAATGGGAAGTCCTTCAGCATCCGTCGGATTCTCCTGATTCCTGCACGGTTTATCCCCTCTTCCTCTACAAGTCGGCCCATACACCAAATTTTGACACCAAATTGCGCTATTTTTGGTGGAGTTGCATCGAAAAATGTTTGGGTAAAAGAGAAGAAAGGGTCTCGGCGATTACAATACAGTTTAGTTAAATGTCACTACAAATTATTTCTTAATGAACTCATTTGCCATTGAGGGTGGCAAATTATCTTCCAGTCTAATACATATAAGTGATGTGAAAAGCGTTACTCTGGCACTGATACCAGGTAGATAGCCTGGGCGTGAGAAAATTTCAGTGTAGAGCTTGAATATCGTATACTCTTCAATAAAAAGAAGAGTTTTGTATCTCAAGCTGGATTACTGACGAAATTGGTCGCATACGTGTCGCGGTTACCAAGCGAAACGCCATAGTCAACGTTAATATGTCAACGGAAAGTACTTGTTGGAACAAAGTATTGCCTTATGGTGTCCTATTTATTTCAGTGAAAAAGATCGGTCGTCAGAAGACAAAGATGGTTGTTTGCAGCGCTGCATGAAAATAGAAATTCTATGCAAAAGGGTTACGGTAGAGGGGCGGTTCAAATAGTTTCCAGTTCGAAGTATTTGCCACAGCGTCGTCTTGCAAGTCATGTTCAAGGCGTACTGCAATCAGGTAAGCTGTTTAGTTCCCTGAAATCGGTTAGCGCCCTTACCTGTGGTATTTTTTACTAACTGAGAGCAAATACCAAATGGCTTACTGTGCCTTTATCTCCACTCACGGTAGCAATCTGCCATTGCATACAAACGGCAACTACAGTAATCCCACCTTATCTTTTGTTCGATATCCATGCATCGTACTGTCATTAAGTGGGGCTACTCTCACGAGCATGGCTTCATAATGAAACTATGTGAGGAACTTGAGGGGAGGGGGGGGGACTCCTGGGAGTGTGAAGCCTTAAGCTCCTCCACTGATACTGCTCCACACATCAAATTCTAACGACTTGTAGAGGTTATCGCTGGTCCTGGTCCCGAACATGACCGCTCAGGCACTTGCTTTGGCCCTGTTGCCCTTTGCGCTCAGGCATGGAGCCAATCTGGAGGTGGCAGCATAAAATACGATTCTCGAACGCAGTGATACAATGCAAACATGCAAGTAAAGCAAGTGCGATATAAGAGTGCTAGGCATTCTTGTAGCCTTCCTCACGGAACCTGTTAAGGTAAGGATTGATAAAAATGCTTTGCAATTTATTGAAATCATCAGGATTCTGATAACGGTTTCTCGTTGCCATTAGAAAGTAGATCCCCATGGTTTTGTGGAAATTTAGTCATTCGTATTACTGGAGCAGCTAGAAAAAGATGACAATGAAAATACGAAAAGGAAAATTCAGGATAAAAAGTGGATAATAATTGGTAAGATCTATGCCAAGACTTGATGGTTTGTTAATTGTTGCTAGATCGCCGCAGTGCGCGTTACGAAAGTCTCACAAGGTCGGCGGTTCTGCGGGTTCGAGTCCCGTCCGACACTGAAGTTTTGTCCATAAATCGCCAACCTTGTGAGTCTATGCCAGGAATTTTTGTATCCGGGATTCGATACCGAAAGCATGAAATCTCATGGAATTTGCCTTAGTGAATAGACATACAACAGGGATAAGATGGTACCTTCCCAATAATATGTATTAGGTTGCCATATTCATCTCCCATCCCTCGTAGTGATTTCCCTTTTTCTGATTCGAACTGATCCATTATCTGTGAGTAGAAATATCAAGCGTCACACATCGACCGACAGCCAGTCAGCCACTTTCCTTGGTTACTTCACCTAAAAGTAGCTACAATGAGCCAGTAAAAATTGCTGAACTGAGTTAGGTCACTGACCCTGGAAAATGTAGTTGGAGGAGGTGCAGCTCCTACCCAACAGTGCGCGCTAGAACGCGACTTCACCTATGTTTAGAAACGGTTCTTAGTGAAAGATTATAATTTCTACCAGAGCTCCAGGTGGAAGGAGCATCGAAGTGAATGAGATGACTATCTCGTACAAAAAGCAGGGACGGGGTGAAAATTGAACATGTAATTGGCTCATCCTCCCTTTAGCCCTTTCCTCCTAAGACCTATCTGGAAGAACCATATTTCCTCGGCTAAGGAATGTTTTTGAGTACCGTCAAGGGTTCGCGAAAATGGCTACCCCTTCAAGGTCTCGCAATGTTGGATCATACTTCTGACTGTTTGCCGTCAGTCTCGCTTCAAAATTGAATAGAAGTTAGTGTAAGATTACGATAGTTGCTGTTTGTACACAACGGCAGTCTGCTACCGTGACTGGAAATGAAGCACCTTGGTTTATCCTATACTTAAGTCAGAGCTCTTAAGATAACGTCGAACCTTGTAGCTCACGAACTTTCCGAGATTCAAAATGATTTCAAGGATGGATATTTCCTTTCATGGGTCTCAATTCGAGAATTCAATGCTGCTCATGAAGGTCAAAATTTGCAGGAATGATCGGGCTTGGGATGTGGACTATACTCTTATTCAATTTCGTGGCTCATACAAGTCTTCGTGTTGACGGACTAGGAGGTACGTGCAGATAATCGGAAGGATTCAGTCTAACAGAATAACGCTGAGCTATTTTTCAGATACAGGTTTCAACTATGGGGATGGTGGAAATTCAGCCGGGAATGACGAACCATGCTTTATGATGCCGTCTCAATTCTATGTCGAGATCACACTATTCGGAAAAAAGTGTTCGACGAACACAGTAGCCAAATCTTCAACAACACTTGGTTACTGCATGGTGGCCCATTGTCCTTGTCGTATCCAAAAGTTTTGCAACAGTTTTCCAAAGTGGCCTTGTCCTTCCTTCATGCCCGCTTATCACCATTGCCCAAATAACACAAAAAGTACTCCACTCGATGAGAGTCTGGTTAAGACTACTCAAACGGTCGCACTTGGAGGCAAAGCAAATCGAACAGCTTCGCTTACACGGGAAACGAGTAAATTGTCTACTAGGACCAATGCAAGGGAGAAAAATGATGCCTCAATGCAGTTTACAACTAGGGGACATCCCTTATCTCATTACATATTAACCACGAAACTGGTTACTCCTCTGTCGGTATACCAAGACACTGTACCTTTCACTGCTTCAACTTCGCCATATAAACCACTGCGATCCCTTGAAAATGAAGTACGTGGAACAACATCGACTACGGGAACATCACCAGGAGTTGTGTCTCCGAAGCATCAATCCAATAGCTTCGAAACCGAGCCTTCAAAAACCACATATTCTGAAAAGACAATTTCATTGGCCACAATATTATCAGGACGTATGCAAACCATAAAATCTCAATCAAATTCAGCATCAGAAAGTAAAAGTGAACGGAATGTCCTGTCAACCATCCCTTCCTATCATTCTGTACCAAGTAGCGAAAAAACGAAAAGAGTCCATGATGGCTATACAAATTCGAAGTCTACCTTCAAATATTTCTCGAGCTTGGAACGGACTTCTACAGCGCCAACCTTAACTGCAAGGCCAGCGTCGACTAAACATGGAAGAAAGCGGACTTCGAGCAGGAACCAAATTACAACCCAGGTGGCGTCAGCGAAGACCACCACAAAGGAATCGTCTACGAGAATTCGGAATGAAACTTCGTCTCTTCACGTTTCTTCCTCAGAAACAACGACGGTCCAGGAATACAATTCCACCAACAGGACATATTTCTTCGGCACAACTAGATTAGAAAGTTCCCCAACCACAGCTACAAGTGCTCGCACCGTCGCCATGCCTTCTACGAGCTCTGATGCTTCTATAGGCCTTACACAAAGGACGTCATCAAAAAGCGAAGGAAAGCCTTACCACCTCCTCTCTACTCATTCTCGCCATAATGGCCCTGAAGTGGATTCTAGCCTTCACCCGACAGCAACGCATAGCATCAGTTTTGGGACATCTGACAAACATCGTTCTCCATCAGTGCAACCGAAAAGGCCCGCTAATTCTACAACTTCGAAAACCGTTAACGCTTTAACAACGGCAGCCGGCTTTCAATCACCCGTTGCTAGCACAAATCACAGAAATCTTACAAAAGCCATATTTTCCTCACAGCCAGCAATTAGCACTTCGAGCTCTCTGCCGAATTTCACAAAACCCGCTGCAACTCTGAATGCCAGTAAGTTAATGCTTTGTTTTTCATCATGATTGGACATCAAGGACACTTGTTTAGCGACAGGCGTTGTGAGCACAAAGGAAAACGGAAAAGATGGAAGAGGAACACAAACGGAATCTGCTTCGCAGACAACATTTCCCAAGCAGCACTTGGAAGATGAATCTACAGGGTCCACCCAGACTAAAAAAATCACTCGTGAGCAAAATCTTATTTTACTTTTTAAACTATACTTTTCTTCAACTGATGTGGTAAAGAAGCCGGTACTGAAGTGATATTCACGAGATGCTTCTCGCAATCGGGAAAGATTGTTCAGGAACGTCTCTCTGAAAAGTCATACCAATTATTAGAAGTATTCATCTCAGAATTTCTGAACAAAACAGTGGATGGAATAAGCCTGTTCAAAAGTTAGCTGATTGAATTAAGGAAGTGGGGTTCATATTAGCTTGTACAACAGAAGCTGCCTGAAACCTTGCAATAATCCAAATTGCATTTTTCGGAGGCTTTCATGGAAAGTTCACCTACGGATACCCTTGTATACGTATAACATATCCGGCTACTTCTTTCATATTTACTTGCAAGAACTCAATTTTCTTCCCATATTTGGGTTGTACTCCTTTGCTTGTTTGAATCTTTTTATCCCTCTGCCAAAGCTTATTTTTATAAGAACTTGTGTCGGGTGATGGGCTCTGGAAGTTCCTCTATGCTGTTCTGTGCATTTGCATAATTGATATCACCATACATACATCGCAACCTAGTGCGTGTTTCTACAGAAAATCTCATCACACTGACTCCTTCTTCCCAACTCCTTCGCCATCTATGACAAAGAAGTTCGGTTGAAAGTCTGGCACGAAAATCAGGTCTTCTATTCTGCCTATGTTGGGAATGGATCCACAGCAGCTTCTGCTGGACCCTCAGTTGAACCAATGTATAACCTTCTCTTCCAAGGCGACTTAGTACTTTTAATCGAATTGCACTCATTTCACACACACTCCACTACCCCACCATCCGCTTGCTCTCCAATGCCTTAGATGCTCTAGAACTGAACGGAGAACTCTTGATTCTGCTCTGCACCCTGAAGGTAAGATTTACACGTTTACACTGGCTCATCCTTTGTGAATTGAGGCCATCCTTCAAATTGGGCTCAGCAAAGAATGTTCTCAATTTACATTGGCATCAGCTGACGAAAATATTTGCATTACTATAAATATCACGAGAGCTTGCGTTTTCAGTCACTACAGAAAGGAGAATGTTTGAAGCTTCACAATGAAGACTGGACACCACCTCTATCACACTGTTCAACATACAATACAAGTGACACAAAACAACAAATTACCACACAGGATCGCGAAAGCGCTTCTGAATCGAACCCTTGCTGTTACCTTATGGGTATCGTTCGAAAAACAAGTGCCACGATATCAGAATATTGGACAAAGCCAACGATGTGTAACCCACACTTCACGTTGCTTGACTTGGGGATGTTACTCTGCCTGTAGGGCTTCTTTGTTCAGAAGAACACCCTGGATCAAATAAATCGTCAGCACACACTGCATTCAACGGTTCCAGAAGGGATCTTACGGCAGCCGTCCACATCGTCATAATTCAAAGGAAGAATATAAATCCTTCGCAGATAGCTTCCATTCCAGGTCACACAAACCCATTGACCAATATTCAGTTCTTACTTATTGGTGAGATAGCTTCTCAGTTACCGGTGCTCAGTTCAACTACCCTGCAGAGTAGAGGCATTATCGCAGTCATCAAATCCACTAAAAAGGGTCAATTAATCTCGCACATCGCCAGCTTCAGTACGCTACACTACGATATGGTAAGAGTTTCAACTGTAGTTCACAAGCAAACCTTGCTAGTGCACACCTAAATACCAGATGTTATCCTGCATCAATTCCAGTGGAGGTGCTGACATCCAAACAGGCAGAAAAACAATTACCCATATCGAACCTTGATACGTTCCGCTTCTTGATAGTCTTCCTCCCGATCTTCATAAATCACTCGAATACCACATCCTATGCAAGCCGAGCAATATGTAGCAAACAAACGGGAACTGTATTTTTCTAACATATCCTTTCTGATTATCATTGCAGCAGCGGCGAATACACAAACAGGGCCACAGCCTCCAGCAACTAGTGGAGCTTTTCAAAAGTCCACTACTTCGGAGAAAAGCGAAAGCACCACTACAGGTGAGCAAGTGAGAGGATTGTTCCCCGAAATCGTGTAGTGAAAAGCAATTACTAGATTTTTCCGTACGAAGGTTGTTTTACTTAATGTTTTGCAGACCTCGATGGGTCAACTCTTTCAACTCGTACAAGTCGCTCCACCACGAATTCGTTAGCGTCAAAGGAAACAGACCGAACTATAATGAGTAATTGGAAGCTTATTTTTTCGTTACTTTCCTTTGACTGCATGCAGTGCCTTTTGTAACTATTATTGTGTTTCCAGCTAATGATAAAACAGCGTCTACCACGAGGCTCGAAAAAGTACCACACTCCACTTTAGCATATGCCAAAAAATCTCCAATCAAGTCCACTATTTCAAAAAAAGTTTCATTCATCAGTATGAGTAAGCAGTTAGGGCACTAATTATTCAGCTTATCTTGTAGGGAGCAACTATCAGATTCATAACCATGGAGATTTTTTCGCACTCTTGCAGGGGACAATACGCCACCTTCTTCACCTCGTGTTGTACACTCAACCAAGAATTCGTCGGAGTTGAAGGAATCTGCACAGTCCCTAACAAGTAATTCTTCACTGAAGGGAATGTGTTCTGTTATGGTTATTGCATCTTTAGGTATAGACAGAAACAGAGTAGGAACGACTACGAGTCCCGAAACTGCATACAACTGGTCTTCGTCAGAATATAAAACGGATTTTCCCACCGAGACCACCGCTTCGGAAAAAGGCGAAAGCGCAATCACAAGTCAGTATTCAAAGAGTTGCTTTTTCTATTTGCCCTGTGAATGATTAGGGAATACGCTTTGTTCAGAGATATTGCATGCATAACAGCTTAGACGGGTCGGGAAAAAGGGGGGAAGGTGAGGAATGGAGCGAAGAAGATCCACCCGTAATAGGCGTCCCACAGTGGGCGAAACTTACTAAATAATTTCATGACACGATTCAACATAGGCCTCGAGGTCAAGAAAAATAGGAGGAGTTAGCAAAGTCTCATTCTTGCCAAGCATGCGTAGAACTTGCGAAGCTCCGCCTCTGGGCGGGAGCACCGCCTCAGCGCGAGCATTCAAGTGTATAGCTTTTGAAAGATTATAAGTCCGTTCAGAAATGTTCCACATAAAACGTGGGCATGTGTATTATTCAAATAGGGCTCTTTCCCGCTACTAGCGGGTGTGAAGCATCCACCGAGATGGAAGCCCCATCTACTATGAGGCAGCTAAAATTAAAAGTACTCAGCATTGTCCGAAGACGTCCTCACCGTCTTAAAATGGTTCTACATAAGCGAACATAATCCACCTTTGCTGGATTACAGCATTTACCTAACCATGACATCGACAACATTAAACCATCCTGAAACGTGGGCACAGGGGATTCTTTTAGCGGGCTATCCTGAGGAAAGCGGGTTGAGTCTGCTTCACGAAGTCTTATTTCGGGCACAGGTGCAGGAACAGAAGCTATGGAATTAGTTCGCTTTATCCAATGTGCCCTTTCAAATCTACCGCTCCGCTTTTTTCAGACCTCACGTTTAAACCATCGAAATACCGGCTGAACTCAACAGAAGCTGAGCAAGTTAGGACAGGTGATTGGATTTGCTTTTCTTCATTCTTTGTGGGATGCACTCTATTGCTTTCATTGCCCTTCTAGGCACTTATGCGGCACGGCCAATGGCTAGCTCCGCAGCTGCCCCGCAGTCATCTTTGAACTACGGAACTGGTATCACTGAAAAGTCCTCACCGAGGACTGAGGCAGCTAAAAGCACGATTACAAGTGAGCAGTAAAAAACCTGTTCCTCCGAATAATTTTGCAAAAACTCATGCAGTCTATTCTGCAAAAATTCATCACAGGCACAGATGCTCACGTATATCGAGAAACCACTGCAATTGCTTCACCTTCACTACCTTCCACATCGAAATCTACCAAAAATCAGACAACAAAGGCTGAGCAATCCACAATGAGTGACTTCTGATTAAGCTTTTCACTCGTCAGTCTCTTCCATCCATTCTGTGACCTGTATTACCCATTTAGGTACTGGTACAACACTGCGAAGTACAAGCTCAGCAGCAACACCTCACTCTTCCTCCATCTATAACTCTAGTTTAACTAGCAGGGCAACATCAATGGGAGCGGACGAAAGCACCACTACAAGTAAGTGAGCATATCCTTGTTCTGCTTCCAACGTGGTTATACTTTGAATTCTCCTAAAACCCACATCATTAGGAACTGCGGTCGAACATCAACAGAAAAGCGCTGCCACTACTCCAACTCGTGCTACCAGATACTTCAGGAACCGATCAAATATGACGAAAGCTGAGCAATCTACAACAGCTGGTTGAAAACTAATATTCTCTTATTCGAATCTCATTTTCGAATCTCATCTTGTGAATTACATTCTCTGACATTTACTGCCACCATAATTACCGATACAACACTGTTGGACCCACGCACCGTAGCCACACCTCAGTCCTCCTCATTCCATCGTAGTGTACCAGAAGGTCCATACCTCTCAGGGTGTGGACCTATTGGTACACTACGATGCGCACCACTACGACGAGCAAGCAGAATTTTGGTCCTCCGGGTTGTCCTTCGGCAAGCTGTACATTTCTGATTCGCATAGACTCATTGCAGGCGAGTACCCTACGGTTACCACCACTACGTCAACTAGCCAAGTCCATCACACCAAGAATCCAGCAGGGTTGACTGAGGCTGAGCAGTCAGAAACAAGTGGGCATTTTTTCTAACTTATTTCTCTTTATAGTCAGTGCAATTAGGATTATGGGACCTGGGATATGTCCAGGTACGGATAGAGCAATGGTGATTACTGCTGAAACAACGCCGCAAACAACGTCTGTCTATAAAGGTAAGGTTTCCTTGAAGTCTACGGTGATTTGTGACTTGTTTCATGGGGTTACCTAATGTAAAGCAAAAATCACGATGAAAAGATTGGTTCACCTTCTTTTTCTGGCGTTGTCGACTCCATCAAAAACAATCAAATTTGAAAGAAGCTGAACAATTGGAGTGCGAGATCTTTTCCGACCCATTTTTCTCTTTTTGAATGTACTTTCTGACTCTCATTTACATTAGCTGCGTCCACAGCAACAATGTTTGAAAGCTCCGAAGCAACTCCACACGCACTTTTCACATATATCGTGTACATCATCACAAAGAAGTTTCCGACTTTCGAAGGAGACGGAAGCTCTTCTACAAGTGAGGGATTATAATCACTCCTCCCTTGTTAGCAACAAATAAATACTCTCTCTGACCATTCTTCGTAGGCGAAAATGCTGAAGAATACCAGACAGCGACCTCGAGAAAGTCATTCTCTTCACAACATTCTATGCACTCCGCAGGGAAAACATCGGTGCCGACAGAAGCGAAACACTCTGCAACAATTGGTGAGATCGAGACCTGATTTATTTATCGCAGTATGAGATAATTCCGAACCTTCATTGCATCTCCAGGTTCGTATACTACAGTGTTGCCCACAGGCCTAAGAACAATGCCACAGCCGTCCTCGACTTCTGACAACCCTGCAATCAGCAAATCTGCAACACTGACCAAAAACACAGATAGTGAGTCTCTTAAGTCTTGAGTTCATTTGTGTTATAAGGGGCGAACTCTATAAGTGCAGGCGTGAGCCTATGTTCTTATCCACCCATGCCTTCATTACTCTCAAAATTATAGATACAATTGTGCGCAAACAAGAGGCAACCATGACTACTACGTCACTTTCTTCACCTCGCGGTGTAAAATCTTCCAGGAACCCCTCACAAATGCCGGAAATTGAGCGATCCACAAAAAGTGATTCGAGTTTCTACCCAATTTCCAACAGGATTGCATTCTTAATTCATTGCATTTTTAGGTACTAATGCAACACTGCCTATCTCAGGCCTGGGAACAAGGCATCAGCCCTTAACGATTCAGGAAACTAGTACCAGCAAGCACACATCGCTGGAAGCAGCGCGGAGCTTTAGAGGTGAGACCTTAATCATTTAGATTAAGAGCTCATAGGTTCTTTCTCGAGAAAACTCATTGAAGTCATAGTCACAGGCAAACACCACACAACCACTTTCACTTCCTCACTTTCTTCACCTCACATTGGAAAATCGTCCAAGAACTCCTCAGAATTGACGAAAGCTAAACATTCTACAAGTGATTCAAGTTCTCATTCAACTCCCATCTAATAGAATACAATTTGTAACTTTCGTTACCTTTGTAGGTATCGGTGCAACACTGCCGACAAGAAGCTCTGAATCAGCGCACCAGGCTCCGATTAATTCTAAGTTTACCAAGACCAGTAAGCATACTTCACTGGAAGCAGCAGAAACCACCACTAGAAGTCAGGGAGCGAGACCTTGTTTCTTTGGACTGTCTCATGCTAGGCTTATATAGATTCTCCTGCGATGACTCGTTACAGGTACAGCTGCAGGCGAACATCGCAAAGATACTGTGACTTCGTCACTTCCATCACTTAACAGTGGCAAATCGTCTAAGAAATCAGAATTGACGAACGCTGAGCAACCCACGACAAGTAGTCAAAATTAATTTCCCCTGTGTCTTGTGAAGTGCATGTTGCAATGTTTCATTTCTTCTCTAGGAGCTGATGAAACAGTGACAACTACAAGCGCCGAATCGATGGAGCACCTATATCCTGTCCATGGATCCAGCCCGGTCAGGAGGTCTACGACGGCAGAACCGGCTGGAAACACCAACACAAGTGGGCGCGCAGCAGTGATTCTTTCTTGTAACGTCTATCAGCACACTTTCAGGAATACATCATGCAAACAGCGTTACTATGTCGGTCTCTTCAGCCTATACTATTCACTCCACCGAAAGAGCTGTAGAAGTGGCAGAAGCTAAACAAGCTACAGCAAGTAAAGCAAATTCCCACTCAGCTCCCATCTCGACGGGTACATTTTGTAACTTTCAATCCTATTTAGGTTCTGATACATCACTGCTTAATACAAGCTTTGAAAGAACCCCTGAGTCGTCAACGATTCAGAAAACGAGTGCCATCATCAAGCTCAGATCCTCAAAAGAATCAACAAAAAGTAAGCAATCTACGTAAATTCAGTATAGGTTCAACTTTTTACTCTACCTTCATCTTATAAAATGCATATTGCAATGCTTCGTGGGTTCTGTAGGTACCAAGACAACAATGACGAGTAGAAGAGGCGAAACAATAGGGAACTCATCCACGGTTCATGGAAGGAAGTATCTAATATGGGTAGAACCGGCTGAAAACACAAATACAAGTGAGGGTGCAGAATCCTAATTGTCTAAAGTGTCTCATAAAAATTGCAAAGACTATGTCTGCTGGGAAAAACAGCTAGCTCAGTTGCAGGAATCCATCACACAACCAGCGTCACTATGCCGGTCTCTTCAGCTCAAAGTACTCACTCTACCAATGAAGCTTCAGAAATGACAAGAACTGAGGAATCTCCGACAAGTGATTTGAACTGAGTTTTTTTTTATCTCTCCGGCTGTTTGCCAAACCCATATGGCAACTTTATTTATCTTTCAGGTGGTAACTCAACAGACCTGTTTACTTTCTTCGAAACAACGCGACAGTCGTCTTCAGCCCACAGCGCTAGTGCCAGCGGCGGGTCAAGAGCGTTACAGCGAGCCAAAAGTACCCCTAGAAGTGACCCAAGAAACCTTGTTTTCGTAATTGTTACGTGAAAACCCACAAACTACTCATTAGATGCATTTGCAGTCCAATATCAGACGAATACCGTGACCACGTCAGTTTCTTCGCATCGCGTTATCCAATCTACCATACAGCCATCAGAATTTTTAGAACCTATGCAGTCTGCAGGAAAAGGTAGAAGGCCTAACCTTTGCTACTGATGATTCAAGGTATGGAATGAACTTTGTGATATGGTTTGTTCCAGCCGTAGGTAGAGCAACGGTGGTTACAAGGTCTGTGACAACAGCGTCACCGACCTCTGTATACATGGCTAGTATCACCAACGAATCCGCAACAGTGAAACCAACTGAATCTGTTCGCACAAGTGAGGAATTGGGGCTCGTTCTATGAACTATCTCACGATCGAAAGATAGAACCTGTTGCTAAAGCCTTTTGCAAGCACATTTGCAGGCAAAAACCATACTCCCTCTGTCGCTTCATCAGTTCCTTCGTCTCTCAGTACGCACTCAACCGAGGACACATCAGGGCCAATTGAAGCCGAACAGCCTGCAACAGGTAATGTGTAATTTTACTTTTTTCGCTGCATAAAGTGCTCTTTTTAGTGTTCCTTGCATGTCCAGTTCCCAATACTCAAACAGGCACTGCAAACTCCAGGCAACCATCCTTGGCCTACAGGCCTAATTTATCAAAAAGCTCCACTAGTTTGAAGCAAGAGGAAGGTAATCTTCATCTTATCTTATTCTTCTACGAATACATCTGGGTTCATAGAAGTCGAACAACCTGCAACGAGTGACCAAAGGCTCAACTCATTCTCGATTAGCAGTTCTTTTATGGAGTGCTGAGTTTGAAAATAATTTCTTAGGTACCAGTACTGTGATGGAGAAAACCGGAACAATGCCGCAATCTACCTTGGTCGCTAGCATTCTCACTGAGACCACTACATTGGAACCAGGTGAAAGCGCATTCCAATTAGGCCAATGAAGTGTTATTCTTCAGGACTGTTCCAATAAAAGTACATGGATTCTTTTTGTCAGAATTATTTTTAGGCACAGTTGCAAAGAAACATCATGAAGCCACTGCCACCACGTCACTTTCTCCATTCCACAGTATCAAATTCTCCAAAACTCCCTCAGATCTGGGAGAGCCCGAGCGGATAATAACAAGCAGTTGAAACTGATTTTTCTTCTCCTTTCACCACGAGGACTGTTAACTCTCATTCTCTCTCTAGGTGTTGATACAACGCTGCGGGCTACAAATTACGGAACAGCCCCGCAATCGCTCCCGGTCTACACTACTGCTACTACCAATAAGTCTACGAAATTACCTGGACGCACCACCAGAAGTGAGGAGACAGGCACAAGAATGTTGACTGCAAGCTCCACAACAGCGACTGAGTCAAAAACCCACAAGGCAGGTGCCATCAGCAAGAACATACCACTGGGTGCATCTAAGAGCATCACTACAAGTAAGCAAAGAGAACCTTCAGATTGTCCTGCAAAAAGCTTCAAAATTCGCTTTGTGAGCTCTCATCTAGGTACAGTTGCAGGCGAACACCATGCGACAACCGATAGTTCACTTTTTTCATATCGTAGTGTCAGATCAAACCCCTTAGACTTGAAGGAAGCTGAACAAGCGACAAGTAATCAGAGGCTAACCCTTTCTTTCTTGTTTTTCATCATGTGAAACAAATTTCGTAATATTCTACCATAATCTACTATATATTACCTATACTCTGTAGGAGCTACTACGATGAATAGAAGCTACGGAAGAAGCTTGCAGTCGCCATTCGTCCGCAGAACTGATATCACAAAGAAGTCCACAGCATTGGAATCAGCCAATAACTCCAGTACAAGTAAGCACAAAAGCTACGGTTTTTTGTCCTGCTCAGGAGAAACACTCACATTCCGTTCCACAAACTTTCAATAAGGGTGCAGTTGCAGACAATATTTCACAGCTGTCGTCACATCATTTTCTTCAGATAACAGTATGAGTTTCACTGAGAATTCATCAGAAATGGCAGGAACTGAGCAATCTACAGCAAGTAATTAAAACTGATTTCTTTACTCGTTCTTAACCTTGTAAAATGCATTTTGTGATTTCATCGACTTTTCAGACGGTGCTGCAGCGGACGCAACCTTTGAAACTACAAGTTTGCGACCAGGCAAAGGTCCTGAAACAGTAACCGAAAAGCCCCCTTTGATTAGCAATGCGAAAAGCTCACAGATTCTGATCTACAGAAACTCGACGAAAGCATATTGCAGGAGAACACCGGATAACCGCCACTGCTTCACTTCCTTCACAACTTCATGCCAGCTCCACGGAGAACCAATTACGACTGGCAAGATCTCAACATTCAACAACAAGTAATTGGAAATGCAAATATACTGACCTTTTAGCGCTGCCTGAAAAACAATTGCTGACCTTTATTGTTTCCAGCCGCCGAAACTGCAACCACGATAACTGTAAGCTCCAAGCCTGTCTCACAACTGCCGTTTACGCATGACGCTGCTATCACCAACAGATCCACTGCTTCGGAATCCTCTAGAAGACCTCGTGCAAGTTAGTGATAAAGCCCCTCTCCTACATCACTGTTGACGTTTTCATCTGTGGTTCATTCTTTGCAGGTACAGATGCAGACAGTTATTATGCGGACACCGCTGGTACGCTACAATTTGTGACTCCTGTCACCAACGCCGCTAATATCACAACAGATACCAGGGACACTGAAGAAGCCGCAACAAGTAATTGGAAAACAATCTTTTCTGTGCTGTTCTTGCCTTCATTGGAATGTTTTTTGTAGTGTTTGCTCATTCCAGCTACCAATGTAACAACGGTGATAACAAGATCTAAAGCAATGCCGCAATCGCCCCGGATCCGCAGCGCTAGAATAGGCAGAAAGCCTACAACGTTAGCTAGAAACACGTCTACAGGTAGGCGGATAGAACCTTATCTATCGAAGTTGTTATAAGAAAGGCATTAACTTCACAAGAGCCATTTATAATAAAAGACCCTCCTCTTTTCATCCATAGAAGATACATTTTCTTATCTTCATTTTCAACTACAAACACTACATGGATCAACACAGACTTTGAAACAACGCCGGAATCTTCGTTGGCTCATAGTCCCACTTTCACCAGCAAATCTATAGCTTCGAAAGCAGCCAAAAGTTAGCAGTAGAGTTTTGCTTCCAGAGCACATCTTCGAAAAGAGGGACTGCGAGACTTCGTAGAGATCTTTGCAGGAACAGATGCGGAAAAACACCGCACTGTTCCCACATTCGTGCCATCTTTTTCATCTTTCGGTGTCAGCTCCACATTGAGTACATTAGATGCGATAGAAGGTGAACAGAACACAACGATTTATGGAGGTCTAATCTGTTGCTGTTCTTCTTCACAAGAAGTTGCCATGGAATTTTTCCTTCCTTTAGGTACCGATGCTGGAACACTAATTTCAAGTACGGAAGGTGTTTCACGCTTGCGCAGCTACGGTGATGTATATGAGAAACAGCCTGCGAAATCCACTGAAGGAAAGGGCGCTGTTACAAGTGAGTGAGATTAAATTGGATCCTTCTTGTAATTTGCTGTACTAATAGAATTAGTAGAGGCCTCACTCACCGCCTCAGAACTTTCATCCAAAAGGGCTTGGCTTCAAAAAGTTTTTATGAAAAACAAAACTGCCGAAGGTCCTCACTCTGCACAGTCCCCCATGGTGCACCCCAAAGCTGATACAGCGTTATTTGTTACTATAAGAGTATCGATTTCTTGATTTTGAATGAATTTTTGTACTTCTATAACTTGGCCATAGTCCACGGGCCTACGTTTAAATGAGAGCCTACATCTCTAACAATCAAAAATCGGAGTTGTCCACGATTGACCTTAGCATGGATTTTACAGGTGGAATGAAAGCACCGGAGAAAACCGAGGAGACCACTACAAGTAAGAAATTCCCACTATTCCTTTCCTATAGAAATGAAAATGAATTGGAGTCAATCCAATGTCTCTGTGCTCTCTATTTATTTATGAAAAACTTTTATGGGCGTTTAAGCTGACAGGGAGTGGGGGGTGGGATTGACCATATTATGAACTAAAAATGAAACCACGAACCACTAAACCGCCTCCAGAATGAAAGTGTAGCGAGCGAGAGAGCTTTGTTCTAGCCTTGAACTTCAGAATCTTCGAATTTTAGCTTTTCAAAGGGTGCGGTCAGGGGCGAGAAGTGCGGTATACCATTCGGGTAGAGATTCCCACACTCGAACTGGAAAAAGGCAGGAAACCTTTTTATAATCAATGAGCGGAAGCTGGAAAGGTACAATGAGAACATTGAGGAAATGACGATGCAGAAATCCGATCAAAAGGGCCATAGGGGTTTGTAATCTGTTGAAAGCACCTTGTCTTGAAGGTCATTTTCTGATAGGAGCATTAATGCATATGCCAGCAGCAAAGCATTTTCCACGAAAGACGAAGAATTTCCTTTAATGAAGAGGGATGGGCGTTGTGTTGAAGAGCAAACCCTCGTGGACGCAAAAAAACTTGAAAATTCGAAATCTCAATCACTCGAGTTCAGATTGTGAATCTGGCTAGTTTTTGACTCCGTTAAGAAAACGTTAGAAACCCGCAGAGGGTTTGTATAGGTTTCCTGGATGGTTTCAATCTGACAGAAACTCGAAATTAAGTGATGAGGAAAAAGCTCGGTATTTATAGCGAATCTGCTTATAAGCATAAAAATTCCCTGACTACTTCTCTACACTTTGATTCTTGCAAATGCAAAATTTTCCCAGGGCACCATGGCGACGTGAAATGCAGTCTGAACATTTTCTCGCTTTACAACCTCAACGACTACTTGAATGGCTTTGGTTTCAACCAGACAGTGGACGCTGGAGAAACTATTGAGTACTATTTACTATCATTGCNACATTATACTTTGTAGAATTGGATGCCAATCGAGTGGAGAACATAAGAATATTACGCTGATATGTGGGAAAACCGGGCTATTTGATCCAGATCCTTCGAAGCTCAACTGCTCTAGTGGTTTGTGCTTTCTATCGTCTTTTCCTTCAAGTACTCCACTACTTTTCGAAAAATTAATGATGTACCCAAAAAGCTCCGAAAAGGGCAATTTCTCTACCTAAACTTCGCTCCTGAAGATGTTAACACTGTTGAAGAAATAAAGACTCCTTGGACCACAAGAGAACTGAAATCATGTGAACAATGCGATGCCTATGGAACAGAGCTATGTGAAAAGAAGGCGAATGGAATTGTGTGTCATTGCTACGAGCACTGGTCTGTAAGTTTCTCTGAATCTCATATCAATTCAAATTTTAGTACGCTGCCAATGCGCATGAGATTTTTTGAAACTCCAACTGTACGCTGCTAAGCCGAGTCGTCAACAAATCATTTAAGGGAAAAACTTGCTGGAGTGCTGCTGATCAATGCGAAATTACACCCCTCCAATGCGGTAAACATGGTGTCTGTCGTTCCGAGGTGGACTATGTGAGTATTTTTCTGGTATTGCCACTATTGTCTTCTGCGAGTAATAAGAGGACAATGCTGGATTGTTCGTTTGCTTTTTACAGAGGTACAGCTCGATAGTTAGTAAATAAATCACTTGTGCCCGAATGGGGACACATGCAGTGGGAAAAGGCAAAGGCAAGGACAAAGTAATTCGTGAATATCTGCCCAGAAAAATAAAACGGAACGGGAGTTCCGGCTAGGAGACCATGATCTAAGCGCTCTGCGACGGCGATTCTCATTAGTGGTCTAGATACCCAAACCGCTGTATCCAGCAGGATCGCGCAACGCTAGTCCTGCGCACATGCCGGATGGACTTATGAACCCTTGGGGACCTAAGGATGCCAAGGTGGAAAGCTTTTGCAGCAAGTGTCCCTGGCAGATCGCCAGGGGATTTCGTAAACCCACTTTGCGACAAAGAACCGAGTCCGATAGTTAAGACTAGGTATTTGGACGACGTACCACGCTTGGACCGTCAGTGGAAGAAATTGACATGAAGTCACTGCTGCCGTGAAAATCGCACTCCAACTCCTAGGGCGGACCGACGGCATAACCAACCTCGGCTACACCGGATCCACCACAACTAGGACTAATACAAGAAATTACGCTTCAGAAGGAAACCGTATTAACTTAAGAAATGACAATATAGAGAAAATACCGCGAAAAGCAACAAAAAACATGAGCACTCACTACACACCTAGTATATAATATACACTGACTTGCACATGGGAAGGCCACTGCAATTCATAGTCGAGGCAACATACGTTACTACATTTCCGAATGGAAGTCGAATGCAGAGCGCATCCCTTATACGTGGCTGATTAACGCTAGAAAATTTATCCTTTACTTTTATATTTACACACTCAAACTCAGCACAGTTGGACTCTCTTAGGTTGTAATCATTTTAGGCTTCCTGCGCGTGCGACTATGGTTTCACTGGAGAGCATTGCACTGTTACTAAGGCCAAAACAACTATTATTTCGCCACATAAGGTTGGCTGATGATAAATAAACGTTGATTTGCAAGAAAGTACCTTGATAAACAGAGTTTCACTTTATACTAGATAACTTACGTGACTATACATACATCTCAGAATCTCTTTCTCATGAACCATCAACTTAGAGTACGTTGTAGGAGTAGTAATCATGAAAGCCGCGGAGTCCATAGAGTTCTTTGAGCCAATTTTTTAGCTTCCACAAAATAGGTAAAAATCTGGATAGTTGATAGGACCGCTTCTTTTTCTCCATCTGGCAAATGATATGAGGAGCTTACTGAAAGGAGAGTCTGACATGATTTAATGATCTTTGTTATGCAGAGCTCTGGTCACTTAGCCTCTGAAGCAAGTGTGTTGGTACTGACTTGGTATGATATCGTTATTATGGTCATTAAGGCTATTCTTCTTATTCATTCACCATCAGATGGACAGGTAAGTTAGGTTCAGGTGAGTTATCAGGTGCTGAAGTTGTTCCATACCCAGCAAAGCCTGTGTACTTTACGGTCAATGAAAAGTAACGCACAGCGGACTACGGTATAAGCGACACCACTGATCCCTTGTCCCCTACCACCAGCCACGCGGTGTTTTCCCTGCACTGAACCCACTTCGGCGAAGGTAATGTGGGAGCAAGTGGTGCAGTACAAAACACATAGTCCGGAATGAATCTCAGATCGAGAAGCAATTGGGCCGATCATGGCTTCCGTTCCTGCTGGGTCGATGGTCGGTGCTGACCAGTCTATGGGATAAAAAACTGGCTTGTTCATTGGTTGCCACCGCAAGTCACTGCCTATAGCATATACATTGAACCCCTCTACGATTACGATCTAAATATGACCACTTTTATATGGGAAATACCCGAACGTGAACAAAAAACAACTTTCTAATGATCCATTTACTTCAATTGTGGAGGTTGTGGGTCGCGAAAGCCGGGGAACTGGCCAGGATTGGCTTCTGTGGTGACCAATTCCCTCGAGGTGACTGTTTGCAGTTGCACGTCGATTTTCGTTACAACTCGCTACAGTTCACAAGACCCACAGCTATCTTCACACGAGCACTTCAGCTTTACCTTTTTCCTTAACCATCCCGTCTGACGCTTGCAGTAAACGGCACCTCCATTCCATTACAAAAAAGTAAAACCGAATTATACAAAAAAGGTAACTGGAAAGAGCTTCTTGAGAAGCAGGATATGTAGATAGGCGAAAAGTTTGTTTATTCACTTCAGTCTATCATTTCAGGATCCACAAACCCATTATCAAAACTGCCGTTCGTTTGTGACGACCATAGCAGGATTTCTCGCCCTCTTTTTCCGTCATCCTACTTTGTTTTCTCTCTCAGATATAGAATGCCAATGGGTCTTCTACATCATAACATCTTGCTGTTCTTTAGGTGTGTTCACAGCTTAAATGACTCCTCCTTCTAGAAAAAATTACGTGAAAAAAGCAGTTGATATCAGCTTGAAGAGGTAATACACCTGCAAAAGATGTAGTCGTAGCAGTTGGAAGGCCCAGAAATCCAAAACCCTCTTGCAACAGCTTTTTCAGGTATTGCTTTTTTTGCTATCGAAGCCATTAACGCTTATGAACTATACAGTTTGAAGCAGTTGAATTCATGGACCACTTTATTCCCCGATCATCAACGTAGTCATGCCCTACTTGCTGTGAGTTGGAGAGTCAGCTCAGTTCTAAGTCAGTTGAGAAAATATCACCTTTCCAACGGCAGTTTCGAACTGGTTTTCCTGTTGTTGCAATAACCACCGCAATCCTCGTCATTCTGACACCAAATTACAAACAGGTGAGTTAAATCAAATCTTTATCTCAAAATAGGTCTGATCTTTTCTAATTTTGTTTCCAAAAAGAAGAGAATGAGAAATAGATGTTGCTAGTGTAGTTGAGAAGCCAGTCCTATAATATAAAAGAAGCTCTCCCACGGGTTCAGTTTTGTGTTCATCTAACTCCTACCTATTTCGATTTCTATTTCGAGCTGAATGCCCTGCCCCCACGACTTACCGTGCCCTTCTCGTATAACTTGATGAGAACACCCGTCTCTATTGTGTTTTTCATCAAAGAAGTTCCTCTTTTAGAAGTCAACCAAAACCCCCTTGTCTTTAGCTTTTTGTGAAGTCGAACTGTCCTTTTTACTGTTACGATACCTTTTCTTGTAGAATATACCACGATCGACGATTGAAAGAAAGAAAGAAAGAAAATCAGAAGTCGCTATATTGACGACTGCCTAATCATATGTGCCACTCAAGAAGAGATGGGCAT